GTTATATACAAAAGTAAAAAGAATCTGCCTCACCACAAACCTGAACCCTGTCTACTTCTCTTCCCTAATATTTATGTGAGTCTTTATGTGAGAAAACAATTAGTGTTACGGGTTTGAACTGAGGGTTAATTGGAATGAATCCATTGATACACATTGATGGTATTCATCTTCCCAATACAGCGTTAGCTATATTTCTTCCCTACCAATGTGATGTCAGTCTGTTGTCCACACTCAGGACATGTAAACCACACAGGTTGTGAACTGAACGGTGTGGCATATTACATGATCATGTGCTAAGTACTAGTCAATCTCCCATTGTGTTCATTGTTTCAGTGAACAAATTAATAGAAAAGGATAAAGAGCTGAAAGAGAAAGGACAGACAGGGTCTATGAGACAACAGTATAGAAGATTCTCTGCTAGGGTCACACAGTAACTCATGGCCGGCGGTGCAGGGACAGAGCTCTAATCAGTTGAGACACCCAGCTGACCCACTTGGCCTCTTGCAGCAAGCACTGGGGTGCTCTGACTGCAAGTTTTGTCACTGAGCTGAGGCCATCAACGCCCACAGCACCTGGGGACAGCATTTCCCCTTCCCATGCCCTGCCCCGTGCCCTGACAGCACAGCTGCAAGTTCCTGCAGCTCAGACGGTGCGGCCTCCAGCAGTAACTCAACGAGAGTGAGCACGATCCACCAGTAGGTGGATCAAGAGCAAATGGCGGCCAGAGGCCCGCAGGGGACTAGCTTGTGCGACTGTCTGCAGGCCCCCGTTAGTGCGTATTTTGAGTGAAATGTGGTCTCTGCTGGGTCAGGTCTAAAGGAGTCAGGACCCGCCTGGGACATGTGGCCGTTGTCTGTGACTCAATAGCAATAGGTGACATTTGGCAAATGGGAGACATTTAGTTCGTATTAAAGTAAATATGAATGTGACTGATCACTTAAAATTTCCTGTTTGGTGAATTAATCTGTGATGAGAACTGAGGGCACATCTGAAATGAATTCCAAACTGAAACTAAGGAAAAAGATCCCCTGTGGCCTTTGGCTCTTAAAGAAGAGACACCAGAGTCACCACACCCTTCCTCTTGAGTCAAACAATTGAAATAAAGATAAGCTGACTTGTGTCCTGTCTCCATGTTGAACTAGAATCTCATGGCAACAGTAATAAAATACACATTGATGATATAACTTAATAATTAATTTATTGTAAATTCTAGGAAAGGAATATCTGTGAGTCCACTGAGTGTCAGCTGCACTGTTGTTATGAGCAAACAAATGTTTGGTGAGATTCTATGACTCTGCTATAGTTGTCACAAAAACAAATATATGCCCAAAGGACCATTTATCAATGAAAACATTCTAAACTATTAATAGCAATAATGTTTCCAAAATAATAATATGTCCTTTTCTGGATAGTAAAGGAATTAATTTTTTTCCCTTTTTTTTAAAGATTTATTTATTTGTGCAGACAGAACTGGGTTACAGGCCAGAGGCTCAGGGTGGCGAAAGGCTTCACCAGAAACAGAGTGGGTGCAGAACAGGCAGATCGAGGAAGTACACTGCTGAGGGGAGCAGTGGGCAGGTCAGGAGAGGTCTGCCACGCCATGTGGTCACCTCTGGGGCAGGCGGGAATCGAACTCATGCGGAAGTGGCTTTAGCTTCTTAGTGCTGTGCT